TTTTCTCTTTCCCCTTCTTCACTCCCTTTCTCTCTCTCCCTTCCTTCCTTTCTTGAAATCAATATGGTTAAAATTCAGATAGAAAAATGTCCATGACTGCTTGGGACCAGGGTTCCTGTTTTATACCAAATCATTTTAACATACTTGCCTTTGTTATTATTTTAAAATATGCAAAAAAGTGTACTCTAACACACTGGCTTGAAAAACAATGTCTTGATCACTTTGGAATTCAACTGTAGCTGTTAAACAGGACCTTGGAGCCTGCTGACACATTTGTAAATGCTTGTAAAGAAGTGATGGTTTTCCAATTTGGAAACTGGCTACCTGGGCTTTTCCTCTTAGAAGTCCCCTAGAGCAATGGCATTCTGATATTTCCCTTTACAGTACCCAAGATATTTTATCTACTATGTTAAAAGTATTTTAGTATGTGTTTAAATCTCTCAAAATTATTCCAGGTTGAAAGCTGATGAGTTCTGAGAGTGATTAAAAGGGTAAAGAAATGGTATCAACACAGTTACTGTTAAAGACCTGAGTTATCCCACTGCCTGAAATAATTCCATGCATTTATCCATTCACTTATCTATCTATTCATCCTATACAGAGCATCAACCCAGCACTGTTATATATCCAGGTTTACTGAGATGAATTCTAGTCCTGTGTACCATATGCCTTAGTCCATCAGGACTAGCCCTGAATTTTATTTCAATGTGTTCATCTGGCCAACCTTTCCGGCTATGTAGATTTTGTGCTTAGATGGATCATGCTTCCTAGGCTCTTCCAACTGGCCTTTGTGACTTATTTGTGGCTTACTGACCTCTATTCTGCCTGTTATATACTCTGTGACACATATTTTAGTGCAGGACCTAGAGAAAGAGAAGTACACAAGACAAAACTGATGTGTAGGTGCAATTCAGAGGGGACAAATAGATCTCTTCCCACCTCGTCCTACCAGTGCCTGAAGTCCCACAATTAAGGAAGCACTTTCTTTTTTCACCTTTAAGGTAGTTCTTAAAAGAGTTTCTATTAAAATACAAAAACACAGAAAATGCTTTTACCTACCACCTGTGCATAGAATGCTTTATTGTGAATGACCCTAAAACTAAAAAATAAGAATGTTAAAAAGAAGGGTTATCTAATGCCAAAGGCCTATTTTTATCTTACATTTCCAGTATTGCCAAAGGTCAGCTATAGATCTAAGAAGTGGTGGAAGGCCCAGAAAGCCTGGAATGCAGGGAGCAACCTGTGGCTGACTATTATATAAACTCTCAAGGAGAATATCCTTAGGTACACTCCAGAAATTATTGAAAATAAGAAAATATTCTCAGGTACAATTTTTGAAATAGAAAGGAAAATAGCAGTTTGCTAGCCCAGCTATTATAGATGAGAAAGTATGTTAAGTGATTTAGCTAAAGTCTATGCTAAATCTGAGAGCTGGCTGCCCCACCTCATACTATAATGCTATACTGTGCTCCAGGTTAGTGCTTTTGGGGTCCTTCATAAAGTGGCTAAAGCAGGAGCTTCAAATTGAGATTCCTTTAACTCGTGGTATATGAAGCATTTACAAAGGATGCAAGGTGACGTAGCAAGTACAGCTTTCAGAAAATACACTCCCAGATATTTAAACTGCCCTATTCACTCTTCTGAAGAGAATTTTTAAAAATAATTATTTGCCAAAACACCTAATGTTTTTGTTATCAATGCTGATTTATTCAACTGTAGACTAACAATAATTTTAACGATAAGTTCATACAAAAGAAATTTTTGATACTTTGAAGTCTTTAAAAAAATTTAAGTTGAAATATATATATATATATATATAATTGGAGAAAAGTATGAGTGGGTGAAGATTAAATGAACTTGCAAGCATTAAGTATATTCCATTAGGTTAGGATAAAATTCTGTTGTAGGAGTGGAATGGAATACAAGTTCAAGTAGAAAAGAGAATGATGCAAAGTTTCTGACTGTAAAAGAAAAGTCTGCTCATATATTTTTTAAATGAAATCATTGACAGTGGGTATCAAATTGCCATGGTATTTAGGCTGCTTTGAATTTGTTTAAAAGAACAACATAAAATACCAAAATTTATAATACAGTGGAATTACATTATTTGATTCTATTTGAACTTCTGATGAAAATCTTCAGATATTCATTTAAATATATGTAAAGGGTTATATAGCTTTTCAAATTTGGGGCTCAAATAAAAAAGACTTAAAGACTACTCTTCCTAGTACTTAACTTGCAGTGGCCCACAGGTAAGGTGGACCTGAGACAGATCAAGGTTTGCAAACCCAAATGTCACAAAGACCAGGGAGGCTGGCATAAACCAGGGATACACATCTGACGAGAATCAGGCAAACTGGAGAGTTCATATTCTGTCTCAAGGGGCAGTCACTACTCAGCTCCAATCAAGCAGTGTTGTGCTAGATTTATTTATTTTTTGAAGAAATTCTGGGTTTTTAATGAGCTCTCAATGTCTACATTTTTGCTCAAAAACTGTTAAAATGCTATAAGGATTCAAACAAAACCCCTGTTGTTCCAAATCTGGCATATGTGTCAATGGCAAATTCTGCTGTAGATGGAATGACATGTGGACTGCTCCTTTGATTTGACCATATTCCATGATGGAAAGTGTCTAGGGGGTGGTGCTTGATTATTATAGTACCTTTTCTAAAAATAGAGGTAATGAGTGTTACAGTCTGCTATTTTGGTTCTTTTAAGAATTTAATTCCTAACTAGTTTAGTGAACTCTAAGGAATGCGAAACTCAGTATATAAGTAAGCAAGTCATTCCATACATTCCTGAACTGAATGCATTTAATACTTGGTTTTATATATATAGGACCCACACTAATTTAATTATGCTACAAGAATTTCTTTTATGTTTCCAGTATTATAACATCAACAACTGACCACTTTGTAGTGTTGGGGACATAATCTTCCCTGAGGATTATTTGTAATCTGAAAGCTTCTTTTTAGTCCAAACACTAATGAGCATTTTATGCAGTTGTTCCTTCCCTCTGGCATGAAACCCTCTTCTCTCTAGTTCTTTTTCTCACTGAGGGACCCTCTTGTCATTTAAACACGGGTATCATCTCGAGTGTTCTTGTTTCCCTTCCTCACTCACGTCTTTTCTTTCCCTCTCAGCTCTCTCTTTCCACCCTCCCAGAGCAAACTTACTCATCCCCATAGCTTCAAATATAATCTTCACACTGAGACATTTCAGATTAATACCTCTGACCCTGATCTCCTGCTTAAGATCTTTTAATCTGAACATTTAAGAGCTACAGGTCTAACAATCAGTATGCCCAAACCTGAACTCACCAGTCTCCCCCTGTGAACAAATAAATGAATGACTGCTCTCCATACAATTCGTGTTGTGTTGGTGACAGGCCTGAGCCTTGGCCGACTGTCCTCTTAGGGCTCTGCGAGTGTTCCTCTTGTGCTCATCTTCTTTTTTATTTCTAATTCCCAAATCTGAGGTCTGAATCTCATTCCCTTAGACAACTGTAACAACCTCCCGGCCTTCCTGATTTGGCTTCTAAGTTTATTCTTCATACTTTCATAAGAGTTATGTTGCCTCAAAAACCAGTGGGAACATGCCATTCCTCTCTTCAAAAACCTCCATGGCTCACTAGGTTCTATAAAAATTCCATTCCATAGCATGGCATCGGAATAGCATTTTAGTATTCTACAAAATACCAGTAAGCTTTCTGCTCCCCTAAAATAAATTTATCACCAAATGTGTTTCAGAAACACCAAGTTAAATTAAGTGAAGTGGGTTTCTTTACTGTCGAACTTTTTAGAGCTGCTAATATACCGATGTGAATTATGAATATCTGCAGTTTCTCAAATATATTCAGTTAGAGGATCCGCCCATTGAGGATGACTAGAAATGTCTCAGGGAGGGTGTTCACTGAGACCCAGCTGGGGCACTGCAGTAAATTATTAACAACGCATTTCAGGCCTTTCTCCTGTTGCCTGGCCCACTCACCCTCCACCTCAGCCACACTGTAGTGCCTGTTTGCCCTAAGCAGGCCATGTACCTGCAGGTGCTGGACTTTGGCTAATTCCATGCCATCAGTCTGTAATGTCTTCCCCTCTACTCTTACCTGTTTAAAACCTACATATTTTTCAAGAACTCTCAACTGAAAATTAAAGAAAAAAATCTTGATCTCAATAATTAATAACTCTTTACACTACTTATTTTACTCTTTCTTCTTCCAAGAAAACTCTAAGTTTCTTTCATTCATTCATTCACTGACTCTCCAACAATATCTACAAAAGGTTTACCAAGTACAAAGCAATATTCTGAATACAGGGACATATATATATAAAGTAAAACATACTTTTGAATAATTATTTCAACAGGTTCATTTGACAATGGGCAAATCTTGTTGCTTGTTCGTACATCTAGAAATGAAAAGTTCACTGAAACTTTTATAACAGTGACAGTTCAATGTTTTTCTGAGACAAAGAAATAACAAAAAACTGCATTTTTGATTTGAAAACAACTATCCATTGGAGTCACAGTTGAGTGTGGTGAAACATATAGGAAGAGCCAATTAAAGACTATATGTGTTGGCACTTTGGAATCTGTAAAACTACAGGAGGCCCATTATGTTGCCTTTCAAAGTTTCTGCTTCAAAAATACCCCGTAAGAAAGTCTTCGGCAGGTTGGAGGCAAAACTCGGTCCCTACGAGATTGCCTTGTAGCGCTGAACTTGTCTTAATAGTATCTTGGGGTTCTAGCAAGATCCCAGAACAGAGAGATTTACATTTAGTATGTCTTTTCCTAAAAAGCAAACTGTATTTTTAGGTTGTGTTATATTTGGTGCCAAGAACAAAATACCCTAGAGTTTGGCAGGGGTTAGGAATTGATCATGAGAATCAGGATGTGCTCAGGGCGACTGATTATACTTCTGCAGCTTCATGGGAAGAAGACAGAATTTGTAGCACAGCAAGACTGCCTACTTCTAATGTGGCTTGTGGGTTCATACGTACCAGTTTTTAATGCAAATATCAAGTCATCAAACTCCTGGGACTCTTCATCAGCTATTAGTGACCCATGGCCATATCCTCCAGAGGAAGGGAAAGTGGCACCATTCTGTGGACTTGGCTTTAAGTCAGAGCTGGCCTGTCTGGCTTGTTGGAAGGATGCTCTCTCCCAGTCAGGCGGCACCTTTTTGGGTTGGGGTGGGGAGAAAAGGAAATCATAATATGAGTATGTACATACTTACTCTGAAATCTATATGAACAATTTATCTTGCATCTCATCACAAAGGCCAAATGAAGGGGCTGTTGAACTGTTTAGAAGTGAGACCATTTATTTACACCTTTGTTCTTTAAAAAAGTATGTCTCTCCATGAGATAGTCTTAATCTGCTGATTCTAAACGCTTTCTCTATTTGAATTACTTGTAGATTTCTGTGCTGTCATGTGCAGGTGAAGAAAATAATTTTTTAACTCAATCAAAACTGGTTTTTTGTAAGATGTGTGCAAAGAAAATTGCTAAAAATCTAAGAACTGGAGAAGAACTCTCCTAATGTTTAATCAAAGGTACAACACAGAATTTTAAATAGAATAGCTATCTATAAGGACATACTGAACTGAAAAATAAAAGTTCTTTGATAGTATTCTAAACTTTCTTTTAATTGAATGATTAAAAAGATAGTTCTATCCTAAAAGGATTAAAATACATTCACTTCCTTCTTGGTGACTGATAAACAACCCCTTAATCCTTCCTTTCCTAATGGTTCCCTTCTCCTGGATGGCTTTCTGGCATGTCCCGGACAGTCCCTCACTGACAGCTGGATCAAGGCCAATTCTAAGCCTCTGAGGAATGTAGAGAACACTTTAGGGTATGTCATTGTGCAACACTCTAAATGAACAGTCAAGTAATGGCTCAGGCCCAGGAACTGAACTGTCACAGCTGCTGCCTCTTAATGCATGGTTTTCTGAGATTGCAGGAGGGTCTCATACTGAGAAAAGGGACCTAAAGATTGTCGAAATAAATATGTGAGAAGATACCTTAAAAATTTCACTTAGAAGTCGCACATCCAGACCAGCACTGTTCAACAGAACTTTCGGTGATGGTGGAAATGTTTTATATCCGTACGCTCCATTTGGGGAGCTACCAGACACATGTGCTTACTGAGCGCCTGAATGTGGCCAGGGTGATCAATGAACTTAATTTTTAATGTTATTTAATTGTAGTTAGTTTAAATTTAAATAGCCACACATAGCTAATGGTTATTGTATTGTGTACTTCAGATCTAGACAAAGGGTAGCTTGGCTAACCAATCAAAAGACAAAACAAAAAAAATTTACTCCTGAATTGCTGATGCTAAAGGTTTCCATTCCTTTTGGCATCTACTGTGATGTGGAAATAATTCAGTTTTAAGAACTTTGGAGTACAAATGAGACAGGGACCATGGGCTTAGACAGAGTAGGGTGAGGGCCTCCAGTAAAAGCAAGGCAAGACATTTACAGTCAAAGCAGTGTAACAGTGTAAAGTCCCTGTGTTCAGCATTATGCAAAGTCAAGGTCACACTAATTCTCTAGGGTAAAGATACCAGACTAGAATATAGACATCTTCAGTGAGATCAGTTAAAGGTAAAAATGCCAGGAGCAGCTTGGCTTGGAATGTTTGAGTGTTCCCCAAGGGTATCTCAGCATAACCCGTGACTTCACTGTAAACAGCCCTAGCAAACAGACAACAACCCAGCCCACCTTAGTGGCAGGGCAGGTGGTACAAGCCTTAAGTCCTCAGTTCCCCCAAATCCTCAACTGCCTATAAATTCCCTAGAATATATTTAATCCTTTCAGGATAGAACTATCTTTTTAATCATTCAGTTAAAAGAAAGTTTAGAATACTATCAAAGAACTTCTATTTTTCAGTTCAGTATGTCCTTATAGATAGCTACTCTATTTAAAATTCTGTGTTGTACCTTAGATTAAACGCACCATCCCGGGCTCTCTTGTCCCCTCCTGGCGTGAGCCAGGAGCTCTCTCCTCTCACTTTATTTCTAAATAAAAGCCTGTACCTTGCTCTCCTACTTTGACTGTTTGTGAAGCTCATTCTTCGGCTTCATGAGCAAGAACCCTGGCATCACAGAGATGGTTTTAGATTTTTAAACATTAAACAAAGGGCACTAAAGACACAATAATTTTTAAATATTGTAGTTGATTGGTGATCACTTACCTTAATTATAACCTGACATGAGTAAAATTACTTTCTATATTAACACGGAAGACAAAAATATTGAGCAGGTAGATTATCTTTCTTTCTTTCTGCCAACCTGCCTACTTACTATTTATCAACCGTTTCTTTTTTAGACAGATGTACTTAGATTTCTTGCCAATTTTCAGGATATAAACACAAATACTGTATCCCCTGGTTCTTTAATACAGAGGGCAACATGAGCTATGTGAGGAGCGGTGGGTAAACACATGTCAGGCACTGCAGAAACTGTTAGGGACCTGCACACCACCTCTTCCTGGATAAATGTCTTCAGGTGTGTTTTAAAATCCGAGCGGCCAGAGCTGACGGTGGCATTACTGACAGGTTGTTGGCACTGTGATTTAGACACAGGAAACCAGAATGCAGAGACAATGGGAGGTAGATTTGCCAGCGAACATCCTGCAGAGATTTTCCTGGTAGTGCTGCTGAAGCACCCTTCCAAGCCTTTATCCTAAAATACCCCTGGTATTTAAAATAAAGAGTTTTGGTGTATTCTCTTTTCACTGAGCATTTGCTGAGATGGAAGGAGTGAGTTGGGATAGCTGAAGCAGGAGAGTTGTCAAAGTATTTTAGGAAGAAAAGTATTTAAAAAACACTTTCTGAGGCAGATTAAGTCACTGCCATGTCCAATTAGGACGACTTTGAAGAAAGAGATAATATATGATGCTATGACTTCCCAGTACAAACTGTGGGGTAGTATAGGTCACAGGGGCAGGGAAGAAAAAGAATTAAATAAGAGGCCTGATACCACATTTTCCCCAGTGGCATATGGGAAACCTGCCCTTTAACAAACCCATTTTTATTTGGTTAAAACATAAAATGCAGATTAGCCAATCAAATACCATGGATCAGAGGATATCAGTAGGGAAAGGATTTATAAGTCACCTAGCGCTGTTTAACTTGAACCCTTTGTGAGACAGGAAAGCTGTAGGGAGAGAAACAAGAGGGCATGGCCAAGGGCAGATACCTCCTCCACAGCACTGATAAGATTCTGGGTGGACTTGTTGATTTCCCCTCCAGCAGGAGGCATTCCACTCCCCGGTGTAAAGAAGGCCTCGCTGGGTCCTGGGTGCCCATTCATTTCCACTGTGTAGCTGGCCTTCATAGGGCAACATGTCTGGTTGTGTAGAATGAAATAAACCACAAAAACATAAAGTCCCTGCAACGAGAATAACACTTGCATGTTAAAGGTCATGTTATGTCCCGCATACATAACTGAAAAATAAGCATGGTTGTAAGCAGAGCAGATTTACTACAAGTGTTCTCCAATTCCACCTAAAGTTGGGAGTTACTGAACATGCTAGAAGTCTAGCAAGAGACCACCGTAATTTCTGAATGTCAGAAAAATGTTATTCAATGTCATTTGGGAAAGCTGCCCTCTAACAAATCATTTTTACTTGGTTAAAACATTAAGTAACTCTGAAATCTGGCCCAAACACATGAAAACAGAGTTGCAGAAGTATATCTGAGTAGCTGTATATGTTTTGTTTTAGAAAGCAAATGTCTTGCTTTCCAAAAAATTACTGGTTTTTCCCATCTCATTTTTTTTCTTAGCAAAATGGTTGAAGTGAAGTACTAATGTTCCAAGCACCTTGTAGGCTTCTGGAAGGGCAACACTAAATAAGCCTTCTGATTTTATTTATCACCTTTTTATCTCGTTTGGAAACAGAACCACTGGGTAGGGACTCAGAGGAATTCTGTGGATTGTTTAACATTTAGCACGCTTTGCATCCCAGCAAATGTTACTTAAGAACAATAAAGCTATCTTGTATTTTCTTAAAGATCTGCTGGCCCTTTAAATTCTTTGCAACTTAGTCAAACTCTTGACAACTGATTCCGTCAGAGACAACAAATGAAATTTTCTATTTGTCTTCCAGACACTGCCTACACTGCCTTTCCTTCTTGATTTCCACAAGGGATCTACTGTATCCTTCTAATGGTGCTTCTATGAAGCTTGGTAATTTTGACCTTTACAGTAAGCCAATAAATATGTTAAATTGTGCCTTTTGTGTCTCTCAGTCCTGGTGTTTAAGTTTTGGAAGAAAATAAGGATCTCCTTAGTTACTAAAAATTTTAAATTAATCCACAAAAATGAAAGCAAGACACTCAGCTTCTTTAAGAAGGAAAGGAGTTAATGTCAAGATTTTTTATAAAACAAATAAGTATCTTCATTTTGTGAAGTTTGAATTCTCTCATGGTTCTTTACATTTCTAGGAGTGTAGAAGGAACAAAGCAAATAAAGTACTTGTGAGTTTGCAACTCGGTTGGTATAAATAATAAAACATCTATTAGAAAATACTCGAGGAATAAGAATTATAATAAACTTCTAATGTAAAATGAAATTAGGGACAGTCTGCAAGGCAGGTATGCTAGCATTTATCTCTGTAGCCATTTCTGGAACACTTACAAGTTAGGCCTTTCTCCCCTCACACAGAATGGCCCCTTTTCCAGTTGGCATCTAGCCTATATAATTAACAAACATGTTGCAAAATCAGTGGTTTAACTGCTAAAAAATATTTTAAAATGTAATTACTCTAACCATGATATAAAATTAGTATCAGAAACATTTATTTCCTTTTGTATTAGGGTTATTTTGTTATTTTGGGAAACAACATTAATATCTTGAATTATGTAGGACAAGTGAATTAGTTTCATGTGCAAAAGGTGTTGTGAACATTAGCAGAAACAAATCTTCCTGAAAACACACATACACATCCGAAAATTTTCTCATACAAGTAATTTTTCACATGGGTACAACCTAATTACACAGGCCACACCAGAAAAAAATAAAACTGTCAGCCTTGAAAACTGAGAATGTCACTGATTTATTTCAGAATTTCTCTAAGTGTTACAAAGTGATATGGTAAAAGTTAGATTAGGAGGCAAAAAAAAAAACCCCAAAAAAAACCTATGCTTTAAAATTTATCTCTAAGGACCCATTTGTTAAAACAGTAAATTATCTTATGTTTTTTTAATATCCAGCCTTTCCTGCTTCAGGAAAGGAACTGCCTGCAGAAGAAAACTTGCATGTGAAAACTACATGTGCTTTTTTTCTTAAAAGCACATTTACATATACAGTAAATAGTTTGAGTCTTTTAGATGTGCTCTAGGAAAGATAAACACTTAAAATGGGAAGAAAAAAAATGTTTAAATGCAGGTTGTATGACATTTGCCTGTGTCCAGCCCAGGCTGGGCAAATACAGAAAAGCAACCTTTATTATCTAAAGTATTCAGTTGTAGAGGTTTCTGATCTCAGAATAAAAACATGTCCCTATTCCAAATGCTGCATCTTAAATCTCAGTGTCTTCTTTGTATGCTGGTCTGTAAGAGAATTTTAAGAGAGAATCTGAGAATCTCAATTTTTCAATACAACATGCTCACTGTCCACTATGTGTGGGCCAGACACTGAGATGCATGGATAAAACATTAGGCTCCTACTTTCAAATTGCTTACAAACACAGCAATATCCTACAAAATAGTAGGTTAATTATTTTAGGAGAAAGATACACTTAATTTCTCTGTTCTTCCTGTTCCTTATCTAGCTCAAGCTTACACAGAAAGGAATTCTTTTTAGATTATTTTGTTGGATCTCCTACTACAATGATGAAAAATGCTTTCAAAAATCTAGGGATTATATCTGGATTGACCATACCCACTGGCCAATTCTGTATTTCTTTTGATTCAGGGACTTAAATTCATTAGCAAACATCCAGTCAGACACAAATGAGACTATAATATTCTAATGAAATTAATAAATGCTCTTAACATCATCAAGGAACAAAGTAAGTCCAGATTTTTGCCACTTATGTCAATAATTTCTGTCAGTTCCATAAGAGGTGGGAAAGAATAAACATTGTCATTTGACAAATTTAACTGAGAAGCGTGGCAGAAGAGAACTGGATAAGACAAGAAGTTGACTGAGCTGCCTATTTCTAAAGGAAAGGAAATATCAGGGCTTCACACAGATTTGGAGAACTCATCTGAAACCAGAACGCCCCCCCACCCCCAGGACTGAAATATAGCCCTCAACTCAGAGCAGTTAAGCTTTGTATGACTTAAAAAAAATTCTCAGAAGAGGGTAAAACCCAGGTATTCAGATGTTGAATACCCAGATATCAATACCCAAGTATTGATAACAGATTCCTTAATACCAAACCACAGCCTTAGTAACTTTTGAACTTTAAGATGTTCAAGCAAGAAAAAAAGCCAATCTTTTAATACATGTTAAAATTTAAGCTTGCTACAGACTTCATGTCAATTTTCAGTGTTAAAGGACAATGGAACAATATCTATCAAGTTCCAAAGACAGAAATGGTCAAGAACAATAATATTACACCCAGCCAATGAGTATTTGAAATGATTAAATGTAAGAAGAATGCAGCAACCATGGATCTTCTTGGGGAGGAAACCCAAACTACATGGTAGTAAAATATAACCAATAAAGAAGAACCCATACAGAAGAAAAGACAGAACTCAGTACTGAATATGGCAAAAGAATCATGTAAAAGGACCTGAACATATGTACTTAGATATAGGACCAATACTGAAAAACTATGAGAATTACAGTTACAGAGTCAAATGTAAATGTTAGGTATCTAGACAATGTAAAAAGCATAATATTAACTAAAACAATATATCTTAAGTTGGGAAGAGTGGATATGGGAGGAGATCTGAGTATTGATGACTATCATCTCTTATAGCAAACAATCAATACTATAAAGTTGAAATACCTAGGTGATAAAAAACAGTGATTCCAATTCCTTTATGTATTTATAATTTCTTAACTTGAGACCATTTATCTTGTAGTGATTAGAATGTCTTCTGTAGTATAAAAGTGTTTTCTGATATTCAACAATTACTTCTCTACCATTTTAGTTTTTCTTGTGAAAAATTCAAGTAAATTGAAGTTAAATGTACATTATAGCAACCATAACATGGTCACATATTTAATACCTACTTATAATTAGGTACCCAATCATACTTAATTTGCCTAGAAAGATGTCTGGAATGATGTTCACTTAATGTTATTTTTCATTTAGAAAAGTAAATAGTCATTCATTAAGGAGACTTAACGACACACACACACACACACACATACACACACATGTATAAAATAGGAATGATTTTCAAAATGATTTTAGTTAATGACCTATCTTTTTTCTGGTATTCTTTATTCCTTTCTGCAAAATCAGAATTTTCTTCTAACATTTCACTTTTCTACAGAACTTATTATTTCTTGTAGTTCAGATGTGTTGGAAATGAGTTCTTTCAGCTTTCATCTGCCTGAAAATGTCCGTATTTGCTTTAGAGGAATATTTTCACCAGATGTATATTATTCAACATTAACAGGTTTTTTGTTTGTTTGCTTCTTGGGGGACTTGAAAGATGTCATTCCATTGTATTCTGGTTTCCAGAGTTTCTGATGAGAATAGTGTTCATTTTTAACACTATGTTCTTGTATGCGTGTGATATTCCCTTCACTGCCCTCCTGATTTCCTATTTAGATTTCAAAATTTCAAGAGTTTGAGTATGATATGCTTATGCATGGCTTTTTTTTTTCTTTTTTGTAGTTTTGCTGTCGAATTAAGACAATTCCTAGCCACCATTATTTCCATTATGGTTACCTAATGTTAATGAGGGTTACCTATAGATGAAGTGTGAAGGCATTTAAAAAGTTTTTAATCTTTATATTTTTAGTAATTTATAATAAATATTTATAATTTTTTCCAAAAATGATAGTAATAAAAAAAGTTCCAAGCAATTTTGTCAGTATATTAGTAATGATCAATTGTATTTAATGGGAACATGGAAACATGGACCATTTATTATTGTTTTTTCTCTCTAGTTTTAAAACTCTGAAACACAGAGATATTAAAATAATAGGAATATTGCTTTCAAGACAGGAAAAATGTATAATTTCAAAATCTCCAGGTATGTTAACTCATTTATGAAAAATAGTTAAGAAATAGGCAGTGGACTCATAAAAGTGGATCAAAACTTGTTACCTTTCAGATAGCCTGAGAAAGTACAAAAAACAATGCAGAATAAGGGACTGAGAGGGATGAGATGAGATCTTCATTAAAATTAGCCTTTCTTTAGCTAAAAACTTCCAAATTTGGGATTAAAAAAAGACTATCTTCCACTAAACTCTAACTTCCT